CTGACCGTGTTGTCGAAGGTAAACTACTGTATAGTGAGTTTCTGTCGGACCAAAGCTATCTAGATCCGGAGAATGGCGTACATTTTAGTAACTAAGGAGGATGCCCTACCGATAGACCTATCACGACCAGTAAACCACACGGATGACCACCAAGCACATGATAACAAGGGGCAAATGCCAGGCACACCCATATGAGCAGTGATGGAGAGACGCCACTGACAGGCACTGGTCTGGTAATATCACGTGACAATGAACTGCCCAACAAAATGGGTCCTACAGCTCATTCAGAGTGATTCACATAATCCAGAGCCAGTCCGAGACACACTCAGGCCGAGTCCCAGGTCGGAAGGAGGACCTCTCTCCCCAGCGCTGAGTCCCCAGCTTGCAGAACCTTCCACAGGAGACAGAGTCCAGCACCCGTCGAAACCACACTCAGGCCCGAGTCCCGGGTCGAGTGGAGTGTAGGGGTTCTGGGTACTCAGTTCTAACTACAGGAGAGAACACAAACACCTGCAGAGTTCTGTAGGTTCTATTTGATGGAATATACAGGGGTGCGCTTACAAGCGCCGGTAGTCCCAACACTCTATATGGGTCAACTGAACTCTCTCTGACCTCTCAGGCGACATGTGGCAAGTGATACATTAGGAGCTTCCAGATGTCGCCAGGCACATTATCTAAGCGTGTGGTGACATGAAAAAGGGGCATTGCCACACGCTATTGACTAGATAAGTAATGTATATAAATGGGGTACATACATAATATACATACAGCATACATAATATACATACACCTCCCCCCCCCCCCTATACGCTCATAGCAAAGTCTTGAGCGGACCTCTTCTTTTGGATCCGTTCTGAGCGTCAAGGGACTTGATCACTGGGGGGGATATGGGACTCAGTACTGGTGGCGGGGTCAGCGGGAGGCGTTGTTACAGGGCGGAGAAAGCGGCGATTCCTCCACCACACACGACCACTGGGTAACCGCACCTGGTAGTCCCTTGACCTACCGAGACCCATGACTACGCCCACTTTGTCCCAACGTAGGGAGGTCGGGTCCTGAACACGGACTTGGGTGCCGACACTCAAATTGGGGAGAGGACGGGCGTGGTTGTTGTAGCTGGCGACGACGTCTTGAAGACGTTCGGCGGCTCGGCGATCACAATCCTCTGTCTTGGCCTGCCACTCCTTGGAGAAGGACTGAGGGTGAGCAGGGACACAAGAACGGAGGGGGCGTCCATACAAGACCTGGACAGGGGAGCGTCCAGTGTAATTGGAAGTGTTGCGGAGTTCAAGGAGACCCCGGTCGAAGGCCTCGCAGTCAATATTCCCAGAAGGGCCACTTTGAGGATGAGGTGCTTCAGGGATTTGACAGCAGCCTCAGCGTGGCCGTTGGACTGCGGGTAATGGGGCGATGACACCACACGCCGGACTCCCCATCGGTCGAGGAACGCAGCAAAGTCCAGGCTTTTGAACTGGGGCCCTCCGTCGGTTCGCAGGCGCATAGGAACGCCCACGTAACGGAAGTAGTGGCGGAACTTGCTGATGGTGGCGGCAGACGTCGTATAATTACTGCACTTGATGACAACCGGACAACCAGAGAGACGGTCGACGATAACCAGGAAAGACTTTCCTGACACACAGAAAGAGTCGGCCGACACAGACTCAAAGGGGCGGGTGGGGTTGTCGTCACTCATGAAGGGTTCCTGCTGCTGGCTGGGTTGTAGTACTTGGCAGTGCTTACACGCATGGACAGCATTGGAGATATCGAGGTTGATGCCAGGCCAGAACACAGTCTGTCTTGCATCCCGTTTGGTGGCCTCAGCTCCACGGTGACTGTCGTGGAGGCGAGCCAAGTCGTGGGGACGTGAAGCAGCAGGGACAACTACCGAAGGAGAGATGTCACTGGCAAGGGGTGGGGCGACGGCAGGGTGGTTGCTCTTCCCTTCGTGCACCCTGTTGGCGTATTTTACCTCGAGAATCGGTTTTGGGAAGTCCTGGGAGATGATGGCCAACTCTTGGCAATGTCTGTAGGACAGCAAAGGAATCGGGACACCATTATGCACATCAATCCAGGCTTGACACGACTTGTTGCCAAAGGTGACATGTGCATAGAGTGAACCTAGGGCTGGGGCCATCTGTGAACCATCTGCCGTGAAGCGGAGATCCTTGGGAGGCGGGCCTAGATCACTTGGAGAGAGCCCCAAGCATTGCAAATGCTGGGGACCGATGACCGTAGCATCAGCGGCGGTGTCGAGCAGCATCCCGAGACAGGATGACACACTGCCGTAGGTCACGATGACGCTGTATGTGCTGGGGAACTTTGGTCCTGGGACGCGAGGGGGAGTACACCCTCCTAATATGGCTTGGGCGTTGTCCAGGGTCGTCATGCCTCTGATTTGACGACTGTGGGCGGCCCTCACTGGTGGAAGGGCGCTGCTGCTTCCGCCGACGCTGTCCCTTGGGTTTGTTGGTCTGGCAACACTTGTCGTAGTGGCCCAGACGACCACACACATTGCACTGGACGCGTTTGGCTGGGCACCGTACTGTAAGTGACCAGTGGCCCTTGCGGTCACAACTGTTGCAGGTAGACTCAGCAGCTGGACACACCTGTGTTCCGTGCTGCCTACCACAACTGTTGCAAAGGGAGCCGGGCGTGGACATGGTGGGCGTAGGCGTTGGGGTAGACTTCTTGTACTTGGACATAGCCCATACAGCTGTAGGGGGAACTCAGATGGCAGAGGTGGCACACCTGGCAGCCTCATAGGAGCGACATATTGTCAACACATCCTTAAGAGAAGAGGAAGAGTTGAGGGAGGTGAGGCATTGGACAAGCTCCTTGTCCTTAACACCCATCAGGATCACCTGCTTCAACTGGGTCTCCTCGCACTGCTGGTGATTACCGGGACATATGTCTACCTCTTCCGAGGCTCTCTTGAGTCGTACATAGAAATCGTCAAAAGTCTCGCCCACCATCTGTCTACAGCTAAACAATTCCCTCCTGCGTAGCGCTTCATTCCGCTGACCTTTGATGAGCCGTTCTAGAACATCCAGTACCTCCTCTACAGACAAGAAAGAAGTCTGGGGCACCTGCAACGTATGTTCCAACTCACGCTGCTTTTCCAAAGACAGGCACATACGTAGCTGAATGAGTTGTTTCGGCTGTGGCAAGCTCTGGAAATCCACCATTGTAGCATAAGCAATCCACCGTCGCCGCCACTCACGAAAAGTCTGGAAAGTCACATCAGGCTTCAAGATGGGTGGGGTTTGGGCAGCCGCTTTGGGGGGGGGGGGGGGGGGCGTACAGAAGGCATTGACAAGGTATCTGAGCCAGTCGATACCGAGGCAGTGGGAGAGCCAGGGGCTTGGTAAGCAGTGAGGCTAGATATCAAAGCTGCAAACCGTTCACTATCTTCCAATCTCCTTTGGTGGTCTCTGTTTGCCTCCGCTTGTCTCCTTTCTTCGTCCTTGACATGTCTTCTCGCTTCGTCCTCACGCCTTTCCTCCCTCATAAACTTCATCAGAGCAATTATCTCTGAAGACAAGGCTGAAGGTCGAAGTGAAGGGCTGCAAGATGTGGTAGGAGAGGGTGGAGCGTCGCGCTCTGACTGGTCATCCATCTCTGTAGAGCTGTTATCCGTCTGAGTCATCCGGGTGCTAGGGACACCATTGCGTAAGGCCCGAGGCATAATTACTTTATCTGTATATTGTATCTCAAATCAGTGTTGACCGGTCAGCCCGTCGTATCAACAAGATCTGAGACAAAAAATTAATTGAATACACAGATAAGTAACTTATATATATATAATATATATAAAGAAATGACTGCGGTCAGTGTGTTCGTTCGTTCGTGTGTGTATGTGTGGGCGGTGGTGTGTGGAGACGGGGGGGGCGGGGGGGTCAGCGAGCTGTGGGGCGCGGAGTGCGCTAATCAGTTACCCGCAGGACACTGCCGCGAGGGGGTGCGCTGACGCACTGCTCCTCACAAATGCCCTATACCAGCCTTCCACCTTGCGAATCCTTTAAAACGAAGACTCACTTCAGCACTACACACACGAGGCACTTATATCACTTCACAAGAACTTGCCGTCACTGCACACTGCTCAAAACTCGTTGGTAATTCAAACGAGTTTTTGTGGGAGACAATGAGATTAGGAGCGCGACAGTTAATGGAGCGGGGAGGGGGGGGGTCTACCGGTCTTGATTATACCCAAACGCACTTATATTTCCAATCAATCCTACTCACTGCGCCATGTAGGGGTTCTGGGTACTCAGTTCTAACAACAGGAGAGAACACAAACACCTGTAGAGTTCTGTACGTTCTATTTGATGGAATATACAGGGGGTACGCTTACAAGCGCCGGCTAGTCCTTACACTCTATATGGGTCAACTGAACTCTCTCTGACCTCTCAGGCAACATGTGGCAAGTGATACATTAGCATCTTCCAGATGTCGCCAGGCACATTATCTAAGCGTGTGGTGACATGAAAAAGGGGCACTGCCACACGCTACTGACGAGATAAGTAATGTATATAAATGGGGTACATACATAGTATACATACAGCATACATAATATACATACATGGAGGACCCGTCTCCCCAGCCGTACCAGGCCGACAGTTAAGAGTTCCCAGCTGCTGAGCCTCCCACAGGATACATGTAAGTCATTGTCAGAGTGACCCAGAGAGTGAATTGAATTGCTTTGGTAGGAAGTGTATCCATGTCATGTTTATATTTAGGTGTCAAAGGTTCATTCACTTTACTAATAAATAGGTTGTACCTAGCATTGGTGTTTAGAAGATTTCCCCTAAGATCATATAATTGATAACTATTGTGTCACTCAACCAACTTTTCTTACTTTGCAATCCTTCCTACTGTAACTCTCACTGTATCTTCATAATGGTGCCAATGGTATCCATTATAATGTTGTCAGAGGGACCCATTGCAATGGTGCCAAAAGCAGTAATTACAACTGATTGTGTTATCTAAGGTAAACTACTGACCTTGTTATCCTGGGTAAACTCGTAGCCGTCAAATTTACACTCGTGTGAGCGTATGAGGAGGTCGAGGCCGTGTTGAGCGAGGAAGTCCTTGGTGATGTCTGGCCCAAAGTAACTGCCGCCCCCCCTGAAGCTGTTGGGCTGACAACCGGCTTGTGTCTGAGGGTCACTCCATAATAGGTCCAGCACCTGTTAACACCAGACTGTTACCTACACGTCGACAACAACAACAACAACGACTACTCCAACGACTACTCCATAGAAATTTCAATCATGCCATTAATAGTACTAGTTTTAAAGATTATAAGGGTTGTAGACTGACCTGTTTCCACTCGTAGGTGGCGGCAGCTAGACGGATTTGTTTGTTAAGGGCAGGCTCGGTGTCCTCGGTAAGTGAAGCGTCGTCATGTAGCCTGGTGGCCGGACTCCTCAGCACGCTGGTGTACTGCACCAACCACACAACAAGAAGGTGAAAAAGAGGCGAATGTTCCTGTACAGCTACCACACCTTAACATGGACAGTTCTTGGACACTGCCCATGGCAACATTTTTACACTCGCCATTCTGGATCACAGACACTGCTCACATGGGGTAATATCCATAAAGTAACATGTACACAGGAACACCTACACCAGTTTGTTCTTCACAGGTGTACCTTAGTGTGGGCGTCATAATAATGTTAGAAGAAGGACGGGAAACAACTCGTGGACGCACAGAGTGAGATATGTCCATGAACTATCATGTTGTAAAGTTAACAACATAGGTGTGAGGTTAAGGCTGCCATCTTACTGATGTTCGCCGGAGCTCACTACCGCAAATATTGAAGAAAGTCAATAATAAATATTGATGGTGATAATACAAGAAAACGAACGCTATATAACTTTTATGACAAGACTCGACTACTATTTTGACTGTCAGAAGAAAGACGACCATTCAACCGCTCGCTTGGGTGGATGTGTTTACTACTATAGACGTAGAAGATGGTACTGATGGTAATGATACGAGTGGGGAACAGTATTATCTATATTTCACAGTGAGGGTTGTGCGGTGTAATGTTTTGATTGTCAGGAAGGCAGAATATTTCAATCATTAGCTGTTATGATATCTACTAATATGAGTATTACCGGTATTGGAAATATGATAACGATGTTGATAACACAAGTTACAGTACCTTGCTTCTGTCGATGTTGGAGATGGTCTTGAGGTCTATGTCGAGGGAGATGCCGCCGTGGACCACCATCACTTTGTTGTTGATGACGGTGGACAATGGCAGCCATCGATACACTTCCTCCAGCAGCCGCAAGATCCTCGGCCCGTGTGGCGCCTAGGAAGGAGAGGAAGAAGTGTATTTGCCACATCATCAGTTCTATGTTAAGTAGAGTGCAGCTTAAGGCAGAATAGTAAACACAGCCTGTTGGAATCAGGTTAGATCAGCACATACACTGACTAGCTTCGTAAGGAACCAGGGCACAGATTCACTAACACTGTTGAAATACGAAGTTCATAACTGCCGGGAGATCTGAAGTCCATAAGAACTACTGTAAGAACGATTCACTAACGGTTCGTAACTTAGCTGCGGTGGTCGTACGAACTCTGGCATTAGTTCGTGAAATGCTAACAGGTGGCGGTGGTGTGTTCCTCTTTGCCAATCACTGCGACTGATATATAACTGAGTATGAGACGTAACCCAATCATGTCACAACAAAATTAGACCCCATAAGGTGCATTTGTGATCACCCTCAACATTTATAGAAGAAAATAGGGTATATCTGGACAACGCACTTGGCACCGATTTTTATTTTGGCTATGTGTTTTTCCGGTTTCTTTTTTAGTTAGAAATAGACTTCATTCTATAGTGTTTCCAGCGCAAATTTATATTTTTCGAGTATTTTAAACAATAAGACCTCCCCCCAAGTGGACAGGGGTTTGAAGTAGAGGGAAAATGTGGGGTAAAATACTAAAAGGAACGCCAAAAAGGCTTTGAAAACCTCACCTATAAAAAGGTTAATAATCGCGTTCGAATTTATGAATCCCCCTCCGCATCTGAACACCGAAACCTACATTAACACAGTAAACACCGAAAGCAAGAATAAGCTAAGTGCTTTATAGTTTTAGGATTTTTGTAAGTTAGGTAAGGTTTTTAAAGGTTTGTGTTGTGTTCTTTTTAGTATTTCCCTCTACTTCAAAGCCCTGCCCACTTTGAGCAACCAATATTGTTGGTAATTTGAAGTAAAAAAACGGTTCATATCATACACTGTACACTGCTAAAATATTGATCAAATATCCCTAGTGTTGTATCGTACTACTAGATATACCTGGATGGTACATTTTACACCCTGCTAGATGGGTTAAAAATACTTGTTTCCTAGCATTTCCTAATGTCATTATTGTAAGTGAAATTTCTCAGGAAATGTCATGATGGTCATGTGTCATGGGTTGTGTTAGGCTTACCCACACAACCAACTCCAAAGTTTGTTTTACTAGAGATAAGGCACCCGGCGAGCCATGACTACGACATATTTTTTTTTCCATTACTGTTATGTTATCCAGCCTATAGGGGGAGGCCAGTGAGACAGTGTTGTACTGTTTATCGCCTCACGCCCCAAAACCTCATTTTGAGTAGTATCCCCAAGGCCATGGGTTAGTTAAGACGTCGTCCCCATCCTCTCCCTCCTGAAGGGAACGGGACATCACACTGAGTCCTCCACCGCCACCCTGTCCTGTGGACCGTCAGTGACACGAGACTAAGTGTGCTAACCTAGGATGTTATCCCCGTGGAAATATCACGTGTGGATGCCTGGTTGCGACAAAAGCAATCCAGGCTGGTCTATTGCGTCTAAGTAGTTAATCAAGTCACGCTTACCAGTTCTCCTTGCCGCGACAACCATCTACACTGCAGTGACTGTCAGTGACGCGAGACTATGTGTGGTAACCCAAGAGTACCTTTTGTTGTTATTCCCTGTGAAAGAAGTGAAGCCTGGTTGCAACAAGAGCAATCCAGGCTGGCAGTAAATGTATTACTTGAGGAATTAAGGCTCTGTTAAGTCATACCCACAGTAGAGTAATCAAATGTGTCCCCAGGTTGAAAATTCCCTCTTTTAGAAGATTAATTTTATTACAGCGTGAACGTGAGTTACTCGTATACCCGAGCAAATTGTAAATCATTGTATGGAATCTTGCTAAATAAATGTAAGTGCAATTATCTGCCCGTATCTGTGATCCTATCTTATTATTACTAAAGGTAATGACTGATTGGTTATGACAAAGTATAACCAATAACTTAGATGGATATTGGAAATTAATGGAACTCATTAAATCATCATTTATCAAGTATAAATCATGGAATGTCGAGTGGTGGAGTGAATTTCTACATAGATAAACCATAATCTCCTGTAAGTACCAGAGTGAAGGTATTTAACTCTATGGTAAGAAATTAAGAAACACAATATATTATAATTTTTATATAATATAATCCATCATGAAACTTAACCCACTGTATTATACTATAAACGCCTTAGATGAGCAGAAACCTAGGTTAGATTAGGTCAAGTTTCCTACTCCTGATTAGATATAATATACAGGTTACTCTCATATCTGTCGTTGAAACCTTGCCAGCCTTACCAAACCTAACCTTGGTTTCCAGTTATCTTAGTTTACAGTGACTGTCATGACAGTCTAGATACACTTTGTAATTTTAATCATGTATTTATAGGCAACAGCACTCTGTGATAACGCATATACTCAGATAAGCAATGGTTTGCTATTGGTATGCCTTACCAAGTAATATATTAAAATCTGCTTTTATTTTTAGGAGGACCAAGCCGTGTACCACCCCTGACTGCAACAGAAGAAGCAATGACTGATTAAATTAGTGATGTTTCCGAAGAAGAGGCATTTATTTTCCAATTGCATCCTAAGAGGTGGAAGGTTAGGTTAGCCAGTTGCGTGTGTGATGAAAACGACGCATTGGTACAACTGCATCGGGAAGAATTACCTTATAAATTTACTGTTAACTATAGGTTAGGTTAGGTTTGATTTATATTTTGTGCAGGAGGCAGCAGTAAATGCCTTTCAACCCGCCAGGATTCGAACCCGCGGCCCACGAGCCCATGACTATGACCGAGGAACACTAACCGCTGGACCACCAGGATACTAAAAGCAGTCCTACACTCTGTAATATTTCACACAAAGCCTGATACGGGTAGTCCCCATTAGAGGTTCACAGTGCCATAAGCTCGTTGAACAGGCTTTGTGTGAAGTATAACAGAGTCTAGTACTGCTTTTTGTATCCTGGTGGTAAAGCGGTTAGCGTTCCCCGGTCATACTCATGGGCTCGTGGGCCGTGGGTTCGAATCCTGGCGGGTTGAGGTGTTGATTGTATGTAGAAGTCCGCGTGTTTATTGGGCTAAAGAAATATATATGGATCCTCGTGTTTCGAAGCCGGATTTGGTAAAACGTTACTCTTACTACCTGCGTGATAAGGTAGTCCCCATTAGAGGTTCACGGGGCCATAAGCTCGTTGAACAGGCTTTGTGTGAAATATAACAGAGTCTAGTACTGCTTTTAGTATCCTGGTGGTCCAGCCGTGGGTTCGTATATATATATATATATATATATATATATATATATATATATATATATATATATATATATATACACTGGCAGCTGTGCATGTTTGGGTACGAGTTGTAAAGTAGAGAAAACGGCATTATTTCCGCCTTCCAGAAGCTTACGAGACCTTCAGAGTCACCTAAGTTTCGAAGTAAAGTCAGCCATTTTACATCTAGTTGTGGACTTTGTAAGTTCTTAGTGAATCACCATAGCAGCAGATTATGAACTCTTATGATGTTCGTAACACGTTAGTGAGTCTATGCCTAATTCTTTAATTTTTACTATCAACTTATTTTATAAACTTAAACTTTCGCTTCACATACACAACAAATTTATCATTCCTTAACTACTAGTATTCCTCGAACACCTGACTCATCCTCCCCTTAACACCTGACTCATCCTCACTTTAACACCTGACTCATCCTCCCCTTAACACCTGACTCACCCTCCCCGTAACACCTGACTCACCCTCCCCTTAAAACATGACTCACCCTCCCCTTAACACATGACTCACCCTCCCTTAACACCTGACCCACCTCCCCTAAACACCTGACTCACCTCCTTAACACCTGACTCACCTCCCCTAACACCTGTCACCTCCCTTAACACCTGACTCCCTCCCTTAACACCGCTACCTCCCTTACTACATGACTCACCTCCCCCCTTAACATGCCTCACCTCCCTTAACTGCCTCACCCTCCAACTTACAGCTCACCCTCCCTTAACACCTAACTCACCTCCCTAACACCGGACTCACCCTCCCTTCACCTGACTCAACCTCCTTAACACATGACTCACCCTCCCTTAACACCTGATACACCTCCCTTTAACTGACTCACCTCCCTTAACTGTCACCCCTCCCTTAACACAGCTCCTCCTAACACTTGACACCCTCCCTCAACACATGGCTCACCCCTCCCTTAACACATAGCTCACCTCCCTTAACACCTGACTTCACCCTCCCCTTAACACATGACTCACCCTCTCTTAACACAGCTCACCCTCCCTTAACACCTGCCCACCCTCCCCTAAACACAGCTCACCTCCCTTAACACCTGACTCACCCCTCCCTTAACACCTGACTCACCCTCCCTTAACACCTGACTCACCTCTTAGCTCGCCCTCCCTTAACACCTGACTCACCTCCCTAAACACCTGACTCACCTCTCCTTAACATCTGACTCCCCCACCCCTTAACAACTGCTCACCTCCCTTAACACCTGACTCACTACCTTAACACCTGACTCACCCTCCCTTACCACAGCTCACCTCCTTAACACTGACTCCACCTCCTTAACACCATTTTCCACCTTCCCTTAACACCTGACTCACCCCTCCCCATGACTCACCCTCCCTTAACATGACTCACCTCCCTTAACACCTGACTCCCTCCCCTTAACACCATGCCTCCCTTAACATGACTCGCCTCCCCTCAAACATGTCACCCTCCCTTAACACGCTCACCTCCCCTTAACACAGCTCACCTCCCTTAACACAGCTCACCTCCCTTAACACCTGACTCACCTCCCTTAACACACAGCTCACCCTCCTTAACACATGACTCCACCTCCCTTAACATAGCTCTCCTCCCTTAACACACGACTCACCCTCCTGACTCACCTCCTTAACACCTGACTCACCTCCCTTAACACCTGACTCCCCCTCCCTTAATACGCTCACCTCCCCTTAACACCTGACTCACCTCCCTCCCAGCTCTCACCTTCCTTAACACAACTCACCCTCCCTTAACACAACTCTTTTCCTTAACACCTCACCTCCCTTAACACCTGTCACCTTAGCTGTCACCCTCCTTAACACCTGGCTCACCTCCTTTAACTGCTCAGCCTCCCTTAACACCTGACTCACCTCCCTTAACACTCCCCACCCCTTAACACGACTCACCTCCCTTAACACCATGCACCCTTAACACCTGACTCACCTCCCTTAACAATCACCTCCCCTTAAACCCCACTCCCCTCAACACCTGACTCACCCTCCCTTTAACACCTGGCTCAACCCTCCCCTTAATGACTCCACCTCCCTTAAGCCTGATTCCCTCCCTTAACACCTGACTCACCTCCCTAACACGGCTCGCCCTCCCTTAACACATGGCTCACCTCCTTAACACACAGCTCACCCTCCCCTTAACACGTACCCTCCCTTAACACAGCTCACCCCTCCCCTTAACACATGTCTCACCTCCCTTAACACAGCCTCCCCCTTAACACATGACTCACCCTCCTAACACATGACTCACCCTCCCTTAACACAGCTCACCCTCCTTAACACCTGACTCACCCTCCCTTAACACAGCTCACCTCCCGTACATGACTCACCCTCCCTTAACACATGACTCACCCTCCCCTTAACACATGACTCACCCTCCTTAACCATGACTCACCCTCCCTTAACACGCTCACCCTCCCTTAACCTGACTCACCCTTCCTTAACACATGACTCACCCTCCCTTTAACACATGACTCACCCTCCCTTAACACATGACTCACCCTCCTTAACACTTGACTCACCCTCCCTTAACACCAAACTCACCCTCCCTAACACCAGACTCACCCTCCCCTTAACACCTGACTCAACCTCCCTTAACACATGACTCACCCCTTAACACCTGACTCACCCTCCTTAACACCTAACTCACCCTCCTAACACCGGACTCACCCTCCCTTTAACACCTGACTCACCTCCCTTAACACCTGACTCACCCTCCCCTTAACACCTGACTCACCCTCCCTTAACATGACTCACCTCCCTTAACACACAGCTCACCTCCCTTAACACATGACTCACCTCCCTTAACACCAGCTCACCTCCCCTTAACACCTGCTCACCCCTCCCTTAACAGCAGCTCACCCTCCTTAACACCTGACTCACCCTCCCCTTAACACCTGACTCACCCCTCCCCTTAACACACTAGCTCACCCTCCCCTTAACACCTACCCTCCCTAGCAGCTCACCCTCCCTTAACACAGCTCACCTCCCTTAACACCTGACTCACCCTCCCCTTAACACAGCTCACCCTCCTTAACACCTGACTCACCCTCCCTTAACACCTGACTCACCTCCTAACACCTGACCTCATCTCCTTAACACAGCTCACCCTCCCTTAACACGACTCACCCTCCCTTAACACCTGACTCACCTCCCTTAACACCTGACTCACCTCCCTTAACACCTGACTCACCCCTCCCTTAACACATGGCTCACCCTCCTTAACACAGCTCACCTCCCCTTAACACCTGACTCACCCTCCTTAACACTTGCTCCCCTCCCTTAACACCTGACTCACCCTCCCTTAACACCTGACTCACCCTCCCTTAACACCTGACTCACCCTCCCCTTAACACATAGCTCACCCTCCCTTAACACCCTCCCTTAACACATGCTCACCTCCCCCTTAACACAGCTCACCTCCTTAACACCTGACTCACCCTCCCCTTAACACCTGACTCACCCTCCCTTAACCTTACCTCACCCTCCCTTTAACACCATACTCACCTCCCCTTAACACCTGACTCACCTCCCTTAACATGACTCTCCCTCCCCTTAACACTTGACTCACCCTCCCTTAACACCTGCTCACCCCCCCTTAACACCTGACTCACCCTCCCTTAACACCTACTCTCACCCTCCTAACACCTGACTCACCCTCCTTAACACCCACCTCCCTTAACACTGATTCACCCTCCCCTAACACCTGACTCACCCTCCCTTAACACCTGGCTCACCCTCCCTTAACACCTGACTCACCCTCCCTTAACACCTGACTCCTCCCTTAACACCAGCTCACCCCTCCCTTAACACATGACTCACCTCCCCTTAACACCTGACTCACCCCCCCCCTTAACACCTGACTCACCTCCCCAACACCTGACTCACCCTCCCTTAACACCAGCTCACCTCCCTTAACACTGACTCACTCCCCCTTAACACCTGACTCACCCTCCTTAACACCTGACTCACCCTCCCTTAACACCTGACTCACCCTCCCTTAACACCTGACTCACCCTCCCCTTAACACCTGACCCACCTCCCTTAACACTGCTCACCTCCTTTACATGTCGCCTAGGCCTAGTTGACCCCCCAGACAGAATGAGAGAGCGCCACCTCGCTTGTGTATATCTGTTTATCCCAGGAAATAGAACCTACTGAAAAACTCTACAGAGTGTTTGTGTTCGCTCCTGTAGATAGAACTTGATACCCAGGCACATGCATGGCGCAGTGTGCGTATGCTGGACTGTGCTACAGAGTGAAGTGTAAAGTTTGTGGCAAGACCGGCTTGGACCCCTGCTCTGTGTCCAGCCTCCGCTAGCCATGCATCTCTTCCCGGTACAGCAACTTTGAGCAGTGTCAGTGACAGTGATTTCTGTGAAGTGTATAGTGCATTGTGTGTTTAGTGCCACTAACTGTGTGACCTTGTTCCTACAAGGTGTAAGGCATGTTCAGGGCATGTGTGAGAGTAGAAGTTCAGCGCTACCTCCCCGACCATACTGGAAGGTAACTAACTGTGAGTCGTCGCCTCACCCCCCTCACAGCGAGACCACTGCCCGAGATGCACACACACACACACACATTACGAACACGCGACTGCGGCCATTCCTTTATATATATTTTATATATATATAATCCTGTCTGTGCATTTAATTATATTTTTTTGTCTCAGATCTTGTTGATACGACAGGCTGACCGGTCAACATTGATTTAAGACACATTACACAGATAAGTGTTATGTCTCGTGCCTTACGCAGTCGATGCGCCAGATGGGCAGTCGGATGACTGGCTGAACAGGACATCCAGCTCCCCACACATCTCACAGCCCTTCACCTCGATATTCAGCATTGTCTTCAGAGATAATTGCTTTAATAAAGTTCATAGAGGTTAAGAGGCGAGACAATAACGACTTGTGGAGAATGAAAGAAAAGGCAAGCACAGGCAGAGAGAGACCTGTGGAGATTGGAGATGATGCACGGTTTGAAGCTAGATATCTCCGCCTCACTGTTAACCAGGCTGACTCGAACACTGCCTCATTGATGACTGGTTCAGAATACCTCATCAACCTGATCTTCCGCCTAGCCCACCTAAAGCGGCTGCTCAAACACCACCCATCTTGGTGATGTGAATTTTCCAGACTTTTTTCGTGAATACGGCGGCGACGGTGGACTGAGATTTTTGCCGGTGGTGGATCTCCGGTTTGTCTGGCCTGAACAGCATTCGGCTGGCCAGCGTATTGCTGTCTTTGGAAACTCGGCGTGATATTTACGGAACATACGTTGCAGGTACGCCTCTGAAGCCTCTTCGTTATCTGTAGGAGGTACTGGATATTCACCAACGGCACGCATCAAAAGGGGCAAGCGGAATGAAGGCCCTACGCAGGAGGGAATTGTTTAGCTGCAGACAGATGGAGGCGAGACTTTTGATGCAGCACATGTAGACTCAGGGGCGCAGAAGGGGTAGATATATACCCAGGTAACCACCAGCAGTGCGAGCTGGTTGACAGGTGAGCCTGATGGTCAGGACAGAAACTTAATCCAACTACTCACACACTCCTCGGCCCTACACTCTTCTCTTAAGGACATGTTGTTGATGATATGTCGCTCTATGGGGAAGCCTTGGTTGCCTCACCATCCCGACTCCCCCTACAGCTGTACGCGCTGTATCCTGAAGGACAAGGAGTCTACTGCCTTCACCCCACTACACACTTGCCCAGCTCTTTGTGGCTGGCTGTGGTAAGCAGCACGGAACACAGGGTGTCAGCTGCAGGTCTGCCTGCAACAATTTATGTGTGGGGCCACTGGTCCTCCCCAGTACAGGTGCCCAGCCAAACGCGTCCCGAGTGCAATGTGTGCAGTCGTCTGGGCCACTACGACAAGTAATTTCTACCAACATAAAGCCAAGGGACAGCGTCGGCAGGCTTCAGCGCCCTTCACCAGTGAGGGCCGCCCACAGTCTCCCAATCAGAGAAGCATGACGACCCTTGACAGCTCCAGCGCCATTCCAGGAATGTGTTATCGGTGCTCCCCTCGCGTCCCCAGGACCAAAGTCCCCAGCACATCAGCATTGAGCCTACGGCAGTATGTCATCCCGTCTTCAGATCGTGTTGCCCGGCTTACTGGCACTTCGACGCAGTCTCATCGGTCCCCCGCCTTTTGCAATATTTGGAGCTCTCTCAAGTGATTTAGGACCGCCAGCGGGATCTCCGCTTCACGGCAGATGGATTTCTGAATGGCCCTGACTTCAGGTTCACTCCAGCACCGATCTGCCCAGCAGCAACAGGTCGTGTCAGCCTGGATTGATCGCCATAACGGTGTCCCGACTCGCCCTTTCTCCTACAGACATTGTCAAGGATTATGCCATCATCTCCAGGGCTTCCCCCAAACCTATTCTTGAGGCAAAAACACGCCAACAGGGTGCAAGAAGAACGCTTAACGGACCACTGCTGTCGCCCTACCCTAACCTCTTGCAGTGACACCTGCCTCTCCTTCGGATGCTCGGAAGTACTTCCTGAGGAATTCAGCGACATTCTGGGCTGAGCAAGTCCGCTCTCTGGAATCAAGCCTCTCAAGAAGATGGTAGGCCTTTACATGAGGTCTACGCAGGGACGACGCAGAAGCCCTTCGCCTATCTACACCCCTCGGCTGGTTCCCTGGCCAGCTTCAGCGAGGCGGTCAAAAAGCAAGCTGGATATCCATGATTCTCCCAAGAAATTATTGCACAGCCGGTGATGACCCCGTCTCCATGAGGGTATCACCTATGGTAGTCATTATAAACCCAAAGGTGGTGATTTGGATCACCACTGACCTCTCCAGCTCAACAGCCAGGTGTCTCGTCCTCGCACCCTTCTCCTCCACCCTTTGCATCTATCACGCGATGTGAACGGTAGCGCTTCTTCACGACGATGGACGCCTGTGGTACTGGCGGAAGGCCAAGGTTGCCAGAAGACTGACCGCCCACAACTTTCACATCCCCCACGCGGACGTTAAAGTTATTGCGCGACCCCATGGGTTGCCGCTTCAGGAGATGCGCTGCCTTCGGTGATATGGCTCTACAAAGGTCTGGCAAACTGCGTGAAAGTGGTCGACGACATGCTCATTTTTGATGAGGATTACATGGACCACCTCTGCCGTATCTGGGGAATTGCTCAACAGGTGCCGGGGAAGCGCGACATCACCTAAATGCCGACAGTTTGTTTCTGGCCAGCTCTTCAGTGGACTTTGTGAATTTTACCCTCTCTCAGAATGGTATCGCAGCTGACCCGGAAAAGGTCGCGCCATCACCGGATTTTCCACCCTGCTAACCACCTCACCGACTTGGGGTCCTTCTGTCGGTCTCGTCAACCAGTTAGCAGAGGTTTCGCCCGGACATCTCCACCCAGCTGCCCAACCACTTCGCCCCTGATGAGCCCCAAGGACATTCCTGTGGACCCCCGACCACGACAAAGGCCTTCCAGCAAGTGAAACAGGCCCTGTCTAGTCACCTGTCCTCGCCACGTTTGACCCAGCCTTGCCGACGGTTCTGCAGGCAAAGATGCCTCACGCTTATTTTGATGGGATGCATATGTACGGGATCATGGTGGAGAGGCAGTTCCAGGCTCGTCCCATTGGCTCGCCCCGTTTCCTCTCTGACACCGAGGCAGCGCTCGCCACCTATTGGGTTAGACTGTTTGGCTGTGGTTTGATATCAGAGATGCAATTTTACCTCAGCAGGCCTGCAACACTTTCACCTAGTGATGAAACCATCGCCCGGTTGTCCCGACCCTCTAACCCACTACACGCTGGACGCCGTTGAGAACCCTCGCCTCCAGCGTCTGAAGGAGAAAGCTTCTCGGCGTACATCTTCACAGCAGTGTGGCGTGCTGTTAGGGCGCTCTGCATCTGATGCCTTATCCTGCTCTCTGTAGCCGCCTACTCCAGAAGACCATATTGCTCGACGCCGACTCGCACCTCTTTCCGTCAGGGACTGGTCACTCTACGCCGTCCAATCCCTTCGTTCCGGACCTGTCACCAGATGACGACAAGGCAATGGAGACTTGAACAACGGCCCGGGGAATGACCCTTCCTACGTCCGACTCGTCCAGTGTGTGAGGGGCGTTCCCTAGCAGCCGCTACGACCTTCCCCAACACCCTGCTCCTTGTGGAAACTACGCGATGAACTCTGCTGCAGAGCGGAGACCTTGATATTTCTGTACGGGCACGTGTAGTTGTCCCTGCTGCCTCACGTCCCCACGTCTTGGCTCGCCTTTTCACAACCCAATGCTACGTGGGCAGGGTCGCAAACGACGTGCACGACAGGCTGTGTTCTGGCCCGGCATCGACTCCGACATCTCCCAATGTCATGCGTGTGAGCCTGCCAAGTATTACGCCCAGCCATGGCGAGAACCCTTCATAGTGACGACAACCCCACCGCCTTTGAGTCTGTGTCAGCCGACTTTTTCTGTGTGTCAGAAAGTCTTTCCGCGTGTGTCGACCGTCTCTGATTGGCCTGTTGTCATCAAGTGCGGTAATGACGACGTCTGCCGCCACCATCAGCAAGTTCGCCACTACTTCCGGCGTGGGCGTTTCCTGTGCGCCTGCAAACCGGCAGGCCCCCAGTTCCTCGCGGGGACTTTGCTGTGTTCGCTTGACCGATGGGGAGTCCGGCATGTGTTGTCATCGCCCCCGTACCGAGATCCAATGGTAGCGGGCTGTCAAATCCTGAAGCACCTCATCCTTAAGGTGGCCCCTTCTGGGAATAGCCAGTGAGGCCTTCGGCGGGGTCTTCTTGAACTCCGCCAACACACCTATGCTACACGGACGCTCCCCCTGCCCAGGTCTTGTAGGACCTGCCCCCTTCATTCCAGTGTCCCTGCTCACCCTCAATGCTTCTCCAGGGTGGCAGGCCAGACAGAGGATTGTGATCGCCGAGCCGCCGAACGTGTTTCAGGGCAGTAGTCGCCAGCTATAACGACCGCGCTCGTTCTCTCCCCAGGTGAGTGTCGGCACCCAAGTCCGTGTTCAGGACCGGCCTCCCCTACGTTGGGACCAGGGCGTAGTCATATTGGGTCTCCGGTAGGTCACAGGACTACACCAGGTGTGACAGCAGTGGTCATGTGTGGTGGAGGGGAACTTCCGCCGTTTTCCTCCCGCCCGTAACTGTTTCCTTCTGACCCGCCACAATTTGGTCCCCTTACCCTTCCTGGTAGTCAGTCCCTCGATAGAACGGATCCAAAAAAGAAAAGGTCCGCTCAAAGACTTTGCTATGAGCGACATAGAGATGTATGTATATTATGTATGTGCTCCATTTATATACACTATTTATTCAGCCTAACCCCAACGGCGATGTGGCAATGTATTTACCTGTGTCCACATGCTTAATTAATGTGCCTGGCGACATATAGGAGCTGTTGTGTATCACTACATAATATAAACGCAAGAAAGGCTAGTTGACCCCAGACAGAGTAAGGAGCGCCACCTCGCTTGTGTATCTCTGTTTATCCAGGAAATAGAACCTACGAAAACTCTACAGGTGTTTGTGTTCGCTCCTATAGATAGAACTTGATACCCAGAACACATGCACCCTTAACACCTGACTCACCCTCCCCTTAACACCTGACTCACCCTCTCCTTAACACCTGACTCACCCTCCCTTAGCAGTACTAGTATTCCCCCAACACTTGACTCACCTTTTTCCACCGATGTGAATGACTGCAGTACTCACGCAGGTGTGAATAAGTCAACCTCTATGTACAGAACTAAAAATTTAACAAGCAAAATCCTGACGACTGGGATCTGTTCTACACTCGCTTTGTGACCTGTACTCCGCAATTCTTCTAACTACCATTCACAGAATGGATACGGTATGAGATGCACAATAAACCAGACACTGTACCACTAGACTAACAACCTTCCTCACCACCAGACTTATCTATTTCCGGCTGACCTCCTTGCAAAAGCCATACCTGAGGGGAGAGGTGAGGAGGTCAATGTGAAGGACGCCGCCGTATTAAGTGCACAACAATATTTAATGTGTTTATATGTCACACTACAGCTAGTAGTACATATAATTATGTCACACCACAGCTAGTAATATAGTGTATATAACTACAGCTAGTAATATAGTGTATATACCACAGCTAGTAATATAGTGTATATACCACAGCTAGTAATATAGTGTATATACCACAGCTAGTAATATAGTGCATACGTCATACCACAGCTAGTAATATAGTGTATATGTCACACCAAAGCTAGTAATACTTTGCTGTCACTCGGAATCTAGTTTGACGACCATCCAGCTATAGAACAATGATATGAGTTATTAAAGATGTCACCTAGTTGGTGAGTTCTGAGGTGAATAAAGATGCCGATACGGGACCGGCAGGGTCGTTCACAGATGTTACACATGTGGATGGCTCCATCTAGTGCGGGAGGGGCGGCGGTAGCGTCTTTCCGGCGTTGGCGCTTGTCTGCCTCTGTTTGCAGTCGGGCTAATTCGAAAGTATTAACACCCTTCTCGTGGTGCTCCGCCAAGCGTTGCGGTGTGGAGTAATCGTCTCCCAGGTGAGGGGGTCGATTTGGCACTTTTTCTTGTCTTAAGGCTATCCTTATACCTTTTCAGTTGCCCATCAGTGTTACGTTCACTATTCGTCAGGTGACTGAAAACTGGCTGCTTTGGCAGTCTACTGTCTTCCATGCGGGTAACATAGCCAGTCCAATGTAGTTGTTTATGGATAATGGTAACCTCGATGCTCCTACAGTTAGTGTCAGCGAGAATACTGGCATTTGTTCTCTTGTCTTTCCAGCGAACTCGGTGGATGGAACGTAGGCCACGTTGGTGAAAGTTTTGAAGTGCCTTGAGGTGCCTCCTGTATATGTGACTCATGTCTCCCTGCCACATAGCAGGGTGGGCAGGACCACTGTTCGATATACATGCAACTTTCTAGATAATTTCAGCTCCCTACAGCTGTAGGCACGTGTATGGAGTCTGCCAAAGGCTTGAGATGCACATCTGATCCGATGCTGAATCCCTTTATCGATGTCCGCTGTGGTGGACAAGTGGGAACCAAGATGCTGAAAGTGGGTTAAGCTGGATGGATGGTGGAGGTGTGGCTGAACCAGGGACAGGCTGAATCTGAGTCTTGCGTACATTCACCTCAAGGCCGAAGTGTGCATCTGCATCTGCGTAGGTGTTCAGGATGTCCTGTAGGTCGCGTTCAGTGAGTGAAGGGTGAGGTCGTTTTTGCACACTGAAGATCAGTAATGGAAGCTGCCGACACCTTTGTTACTGCCTGGAGTTGTCTTATGTTGAAAAGATCCTTCATCCGGTACTCGATGTCCACTCCGCCGGCTAAATTGGCACTGGCACGAGTAAGGAAAACAACCCAAAAAAATGTAAAGAGGTTGGTGCCAGTACATATCCTTGCTTTACCCCAGGTTTGGATAGAAAGAACTCAGAGTGGGTGCCTTTGTGCAGGACACTATCGTTCATGCCATCGTGAGGTTGCATCACAATGGCGATGAATTTTGGTGGGCAGCCAAAATGGCTGAGGGTCCGCCAGAGAGCTTCCCTGTTGACCGGGTCAAAGGCCTTGGTTAGGTCGATTAGGGCCATGTACAGGTCACGACGCTGTTCTCTGCACTTTTTCTGTATCTGGCGGGCAGCAAAGATCATGTCAGTGGTGCCACATGATGGTCTAAAGCCACATTGAGATTCTGGGAGGAAGTTTTCCGCCTCAGGAAGAAGTCTTTTTAGGAGGACTCGGGCGATAATCGTCCTTCTACGAAGGGCAGCGAGATCATGCAGTAGTTGCCACAGTCTGATCGGTAGCCCTTGTTCTTATAAATATTGACGATGGTGGTGTCTTTACGAGTTTGGGGGATTTTCTCCTTTTCCTCATATATTCTCCAGGAGAGAGTGGAGACTGCTAGTAAGCAGAGGTCCTCCTTCTTTATACACCTCGGCTGGGATTCCATCAGGCCCTGAGGCTTTGTTATTTTTCATCTGTTTGATGGCAGTAACTACCTCATCCAGGGATGGAGGATAGCTGAGATGGGTCAGCTCTGGATGCTGAAGGACCTGCTGGGTAGTCAGGACATCCACATCGGTGTTTCGGCTGAGCAGCGAATGTTAGTGCTCTTTCCAGTGCTGATAGATGCCTTCTTTGTCTTTAATTAGGGAGTTACCATCGGATGAGCAGAGGGGGCCTGTTGCCACGAGTGATTGGCTCATAAAATATTTTAGTGGAATTGAAAAATTCGCGCACCTTGCGTTGATCTGCAAGTTTTTGCATTTCACCTGCTTTATTTTTAAACCAGTCGTTCTTTAGTTTGTGAAGTTAGCGCTGGGCCGCAGCTTTCTTCTTGCGGAAGGTATCAGCTTTAATCCGAGACTGAGGTTGTTCTGCCAATTCATTAAAGCAGCACGTTTATCATCGACGAGTACATTGATTTCTGGGTCATTTTCATCAAACCATTCCTGGTGTATTCTTTCGATCTGGCTGAGGGTCTCTCTGCCGGTTTTTGTCATGACAGTGTCGAGAATATACTCCATTCAGCACCGTTTTGAGGCGACGTGAAGCGAGAGCTTGGCTCTGACGAACCGATGATCTGTGACGCAGTGGTCTGAGCCACGCATTGTTCAGGTGATGAGGACATAACGGCGATCTGGTTGTTTCACTCACCTGCCTACTTCACTCACCTGCCTACTTCACTCACCTGGCTGTTTCACTCACCTACCTACTTCACTCACCTGGCTGTTTCACTCACCTACCTACTTCACTCACCTGGCTGTTTCACTCACCTGCCTACTTCACTCACCTGGCTGTTTCACTCACCTGCCTACTTCACTCACCTGGCTGTTTCCTCCTACCTCTCCACTCACCTGGCTGTTTTCACTCACCTGCCTACTTCACTCACCTGGCTGTTCCTCACCTACCTTCACTCACCTGGCTGTTTCACTCACCTGCCTACTTCACTCCTGGCTGTTTCACTCACCTGCCTACTTCACTCACCTGTCTGTTTCACTCACCTGCCTCATTAACTCACCTGGCTGTTTCACTCACCTGCCTCTTAACTCACCTGCCTACTTCACTCCTGGCTGTTTCACTCACCTGCTTCTCTACTACTTCACTCACCTGGCTGTTTCACTCACCTGCCTACTTCACTCACCTGTGTTTCACTCACCTGCCTACTTCACTCACCTGGCTGTTTCACTCACCTGCCTACTTAACTCACCTGGATGTTTCACTCACCTGCCTACTTCACTCACCTGGTTGTTTTTCACTAACCTGGCTGTTTCACTCAACTGCCTCTCCACTCACCTGCCTACTTCACTCACCTGTCTGTTTCATTCCACCTGCCTACTTCATTCACCTAGCTGTTTCACTCACCTGCCTACTTCACTCACCTGGCTGTTCTCTCCTGCCAACTTCACTCACCTGTGTTTCACTCACCTGGCTGTTTCACTCACCTGCCTACTTCACTCACCTGCCTACTTCACTCCTGGCTGTTTCACTCACCTGCCTACTTCCCACCTGGCTGTTTCACTCACCTGCCTACTTCACTCACCTGTGTTTCACTCACCACTTCACCTCCTAGCTGTTTCACTCACCTGCCTACTTCACTCACCTGCCTACTTCACTCACCTGGCTGTTTCACTCACCTGCCTACTTCACTCACCTGGCTGTTTCACTCACCTGGCTGTTTCACTCACCTCCTTCACTCACCTGGCTGTTTCACTCACCTGCCTTCACTCACCTGGTGTTTTTCACTCACCTGGCTGTTTCACTCCTGCCTACTTCACTCACCTGGATGTTTCACTCACCTGGCTGTTTCATTCACCTGCCTACTTCACTCACCTGGATGTTTCACTCACCTGGCTGTTTCACTCACCTACTTCACTCACCTGGATGTTTCACTCACCTGGCTGTTTCACCACCTGCCTACTTCCTCACCTGGATGTTTCACTCACCTGGCTGTTTCACTCACCTGCCTACTTAACTCCCTGGCTGTTTCACTCACCCGGCTGTTTCAATCACCTGCCTACTTCTCACCTGGCTGTTTCACTCACCTGCCTACTTCACTCACCTGGATGTTTCACTCACCTGGCTGTTTCACTCACCTGCCTACTTCACTCACCTGGATGTTTCACTCACCTGGCTGTTTCAATCACCTACTTCACTCCTGGATGTTTCACTCACCTGGCTGTTTCACTCACCTGCCTCTTCCTCACCTGGCTGTTTTACTCACCTGGCTGTTTCACTCACCTGCCTACTTCACTCACCTGCCTACTTCACTCCTGGCTGTTTTACTCACCTAGCTGTTTCCTCACCTGCCTACTTCACTCACCTGCCTACTTCACTCACCTGGCTGTTTTACTCACCTGGCTGTTCACTCACCTGCCTACTTCACTCACCTGGATGTTTCCTCACCTGCCTACTTCACTCACCTGGATGTTTCACTCACCTGCCTCTTCACTCCTGGATGTTTCACTCACCTGGCCATTTCACTCACCTGCCTACTTCACTCACCTGGATGTTTCACTCACCTGGCTGTTTCACTCTCTCTTCACTCACCTGGCTGTTTCACTCCTGCCTACTTCACTCACCTGGCTGTTTCACTCCTGCCTACTTCACTTACCTGGCTATTTCACTCACCTGCCTACTTCACTCACCTGGCTGTTTCACTCACCTGCCTTCACTCACCTGGCTGTTTCACTCACCTGGATTTTCACTCACCTGGCTGTTTCACTCACCTGCCTTCACTCTCAGCTGTTTCTCACCTGTCTACTTCACTCACCTACTTCACTCACCTGGCTGTTTCACTCCTGCCTACTTCACTCACCTGGCTGTTTCACTCACCTGGCTGTTTCACTCACCTGCCTACTTCACTCACCTGGCTGTTCACTCACTTGCCTACTTCACTCACCTGGATGTTTCACTCACCTGGCTGTTCACTCACCTGCCTACTTCACTCACCTGGATGTTTCACTCACCTGGCTGTTTCATTCACCTGCCTACTTCACTCCTGGATGTTTCACTCACCTGGCTGTTTCCTCACCTGCCTGCTTCACTCACCTGACTGTTTTACTCACCTGGCTGTTTCACTCACCTGCCTCTTCACTCACCTGCCTACTTCACTCACCTGGCTGTTTCACTCACCTGGGTTTCACTCACCTGGCTGTTCACTCACCTGCCTACTTCACTCACCTGGATGTTTCACTCCTGGATGTTTCACTCACCTGGCTGTTTCACTCACCTGGATGTTTCACTCACCTGGCTGTTTCACTCACCTGCCTACTTCACTCACCTGGCTGTTCACTCCTGCCTGCTTCACTCCTGCCTACTTCACTCACCTGGCTGTTTCACTCACCTGCCCTGCTTCACTCACCTGGCTGTTTCACTCACCTGTGTTTCACTCACCTGCCTGCTTCACTCACCTGGCTGTTTCACTCCTTGCCTACTTCACTCCTGGATGTTTCCTCTCACCTGGCTGTTTCACTCACCTGCCTACTTCATAGATGTTTTACTGTTTTCATTCACCTGCCTACTTCACTCACCTGGATGTTTCACTCACCTGGCTGTTTCCCTCTTGCCTACTTCACTCACCTGGCTGTTTTACTCACCTAGCTGTTTCACTCACCTGCCTACTTCACTCACCTGCCTGCTTCACTCACCTGCTTCACTCACCTGGCTGTTTCTCACCTGGCTGTTTCACTAACCTGGCTGTTTCACTCACCTGCCTACTTCACTCACCTGGATGTTTCACTCCTGGATGTTTCACTCACCTGGCTGTTTCTCACCTGCCTACTTCACTCACCTGTCATTCACCTGCCTACTTCATTCTGTTTCCTCTGCCTCTGTTTACTCACCTGGCTGTTTCACTCACCTGCCTCACTTCACTCACCTGCCTACTTCACTCACCTGGATGTTTCACTCACCTGGCCACTTCACTCACCTGGATGTTTCACTCACCTGCTACTTCACTCACCTGGCTGTTTCACTCACCTGGATGTTTCCTCACCTGGCTGTTTCACTCACCTGCCTACTTCACTCACCTGGATGTTTCACTCACTGGATGCTTCTCTGTTTCACTCACCTGCCTACTTCACTCACTGTTCATTGCTACTTCATTCACCTGGCTGTTTCACTCTCTCTTCTCACCTGGCTCATTTCTCTGGCTGTTTCACTCACCTGCTTCTCACCTGCCTACTTCCTCACCTGTCTGTTTTTTACCTGCCTACTTCATTCACCTAGCTGTTTCACTCACCTGCCTACTTCACTCACCTGTCTGTTTCATTCACCTGCCTACTTCACTCACCTGGCTGTTTCATTCACCTGCCTACTTCATTCACCTGGCTGTTTATCTCACCTGCCTACTTCATTCACTTGTTTCATTCACTCACCTGCTTTCTCACCTGGCTGTTTCACTCACCTGCCTACTTCACTCATCTGGCTGTTTCTCACCATTAACCTGCCTACTTCACTCCTGTCTGTTTCATTCACCTGGCTGTTTCACTCACCTGTCTGTTTCACTTCTTACTTCTTCTTTCACTCACCTGCCTACTTCCTCACCTGCCTGCTTATATCTTATTTATTCTTCCTTATGTTTCCTCACCTGGCTGTTTCCTCACCTGGCTGCTTCATTCACCTGCCTCACTTCACTCACCTGTCTGTTTCATTGCCTACTTCACTCACCTGGCTTTTCACTCACCTGCTTCCTCACCTGGCTGTTTCACTCACCTGCCTATTACTCACCTGCCTACTTCACTCACCTGGGTCTTTCACAAACCTGCCTACTTCACTCACCTGGCTGTTTCACTCACCTGCCTACTTCATTCACCTGGCTGTTTCATTCACCTTCCTACTTCATTCACCTGGCTGTTTCATTCACCTTCCTACTTCACTCACCTGGCTCTTTCACTAACCTGCCTACTTCACTCACCTGGCTCTTTCACTCACCTGCCTACTTCATTCACCTGGCTGTTTCACTCACCTGCCTACTCTTCACCTTTCCTTCACTCACTGGCTCTTTTCACTAACCTGCCTCTTCACTCACCTGGCTGTTTCTTTCTTCTTTGATTCACCTTCTGCCTTCCTGGCTGTTTCATTCACCTTCTCTTCTCACCTGGCTCTTTCATTACTTCACTCACCTGCTGTTTCTCACCTGCCTACTTCATTCACCTGGCTGTTTCACTCACCTGCCTACTTCACTCACCTGGCTGTTTCACTCACCTGCCTCTTCACTCCTTCACTCACCTGTCTTTCACTCACCTGCCTACTTCATTCACCTGGCTGTTTCATTCACCTTCCTCTTCACTCACCTGGCTCTTTCCTCTCCTGCTTCACTCACCTGCTGTTTCACTCACCTGCCTCATTCACCTGGCTGTTTCTCCTGCCTCTTCAGTCACCTGCCTACTTCCCTCTCCTGGCTCTTTCACTAACCTGCCTACTTCCTCACCTGGCTGTTTCACTCACCTGCCTACTTCATTCACCTGGCTGTTCATTCACCTTCCTACTTCACTCACCTCTTCACTAACCTGCCTCCTTCCTCACCTGGCTCTTTCACTCACCTGCCTACTTCATTCACCTGTTTCACTTTCATCACTCACCTGGCTGTTTCACTCACCTGCCTTCTCCTCTTCACTCACCTGGCTCTTTCACTCACCTGCCTACTTCATTCACCTGGCTGTTTCATTCACCTTCCTACTTCACTCACCTGGCTGTTTCACTCCTCCTTCATTCACCTGGCTGTTTCACTCACCTGTTTGCCTGACGCACGGTATCTGGCTGCTTGACTCACCTTGCGTTCATGACCAGGTCCTCGTGGTTGCCGCGGTGGCCTCAGCGGGGAAGGCGATTACCAGCGCCAGCAATAACAATATCACTTCCATGGACTTCTGGCCACGATCCACGAAGTCACCGTTGAACACGTAAGGGTTGTCAGTGGAAGGAACCGTTCTGTCGGGTGGAGGATTATCATCATCAATGGAGGGCAGACCAGTGTTACCTGTGGTACTGTAGGTGAGCACTTGTATGGCGATTGCTCAGTAGTGAAATATAATAAGAGGAGAATCTAGATGGGCGGCTTTTGATGTATATGTTAATATGTTTCATTTTGTGAGTGTGCCGTGAGCACTACACACAACACCAATCCTGCCTAACAACGAGGGTCTGTCCGGGGAGGTATAGTGCAAGTAGAGCTTTATTATTATTATTATTATTATTATTATTATTATTATTATTATTATTATTATTATTATTATTATTATTATTATTATTATTATTATTATTATTATTATTATTATTATTATTATTATTATTATTATTATTATTATTATTATTATTATTATTATTATTATTATTATTATTATTATGAGGTCGTACTTTTATAATGATAATCTTTTTAATCATTCAATAGTTTTATTCGACGCTGACTGTTATATACAGTACTTACTTGTGGACTTGATTCTGTGTCTAAGAATATAAAACAATTTTGCCTAACTACACCGTGGTCTCGTTGTACTGCCCTTTTCACTTTACTCCCACGGAAATTCATAATATATAGATAATATTTTGCATTATATCACTGCGTCATAACCTTTGACACCATCTCATCATAAATCAACATTCCATCAGATTACTTCGACAGACGTGCAGTTATTACACTGACAGATCACCAACATACATAGTCAACCGTAAAGTAGGTACGAATATGTAGTCTATGTCCTTACGTACTGCCGATTTAATTTAATGAATAAAAGGTGGCACTGTTTTTTTTTCCATACCATTCTTATTAAGGATCCGTATGGTGGCAAACTCCCATGGCCTGCAGATGGCCACAATGGCAACGACCTTTTTCGGTGGCCAAAAACCTGAAAATCGTATTTTTGACTAACAAAGGTAAGTTGAGTATGAAAATATAGGTTTTGTGGGACCAAAACCGATTGGAATCATTACTTTTGGCCTACAAGGCTGTTGGAAGCCAAGAACGGCAACGCACCTCTTTGATGCCCAAAAATACAGGTAATATATATATATATATATATATATATATATATATATATATATATATATATATATATATATATATATATATATATATATATATATATATATATAGAGAGAGAGTGAAAGATCTTTTGGAAGCTATAACAAGTTATATTGCAATATGTTATAAAGAAAACACTATTCACACTACATCAGATCTGTTGTTTATTGGCTTACAGTAGGTCAAAAGAGCTCATTTTAAACGTACTCATTATAATATTCATTTGAGTCTGAGTAACACTCGCGGCACATATTCAAAGATAATAGTAATTTGCTGTACACATACGGTATGGAACTGAAAAATAAGGTAAGTTTGAGAATTTTTTTTCATTATTATATAGAAAAAATATATAAAAATTACCTAATTCCCTCCAATATAAACATTTGAATGTGAAAATGTCTCCGTACAAAGTATATAAAATTTATCACATGCACACATGTGTGTGTGTGAAAAGCTAATGAAAGTAATTAAAGTTTCTTAATTAAAGAAAGAACTTCAATACCAAGAACCTAAAAAAGTAAAGCAAGTATTTTTACACTTAAATAAGATTGTTAATAAATTCTAATGAAAACAAATGATGATACGTTATACCTTACATATAACAATTACTTAAAAAGGCGTTACCATCAAAATCATCATTAACCACAGAATGAATATCTTGATTCTCACAATGTACACTTTTAAAGCATGAGCATGACAGGATCTCTTGGATACCAATTGAAGATTGAGTGCAAACTATTGTTTGTGCTTGAGTCCTCAAGCAGTGTTGTTTAAAGGCGGATGAGGTTGGAGGCATTTCCTCACTGCTTTTTTTTTCCACCATAACTCACTAAGACACTTTGCATCTACCTGGTCATCATAACTGTTCTTGCCATAGTAACCTAGAATGATACTCCCAGGGACCTAATAACAGACTCACTGAGAGGCTCTGATGTCTTGAGAGCGTCGAAAAGAGTTTTCAGGTTATCACTCTTGTAATTATTTAAGAGAGTAAACCATATCGTCTTTGATATCCCAGGAAATTTCACAGTAGTATCTGTTCCTGTTAATACATGAAAGGCAAAGGTACTCACTAAGTTGTGGCCCTAGAGCTTGTACAACTGCTTTGATGCTAATGGTAGAACTTTTCAAGTTGATCTAAGTATTTGGAGTGAAAGAGTGGTGATGACCTACCCTGTAGTTGTAGGAGCAGTAAGTACATCTGTGTCTGGACTATGAAATACCATCGATATCTTCTTTGGATCTTTTAATGGTACAATGATTCACTTCCCTCTCTGAGACGCTCATATTCCTTGACAGCTCCATAAATCATCCGAGTATCCGCCTCATTGTGGTTTGTTTTCAATGTATGTGTCTTAATGTCGTGCCTGTTTGAAGCAGCTTGTGCCATGATAGAACACTATAAGCAGCTTCTCAACATACTCAATACACTTCATCGCCAAGTACTGTGTCAGCTTGGTATCGTGGTGGACAAGCAGTTTCTTAAGGGAGACTTCTTTCAGGCTTGTATTATCTTGGACATCATACCTGATTGCCTTTATTGAACCAACTCTTTTTATGCATGGAATTCTTTAGAATCAACACCTTTGTAAGTATCAAAAGCAATTACTGCTTCATCATAAGAAGTCATGGTCTTCCTAAATGTAGCCACATGGGCTCTTGCCAAATCTTTGAGTGTACACATATGCCAAAAGTGGGAGTGACCGTTCTTGGCTTCTAACAACCTTGTAGGCCAAAAATAATGATTCCAGTCGATTTCCGGTCCCACAAAATCCCTATTTTCATATGCAACTTGCCTATGTTAGTAAAAAATACGATTTTCAGGCTTTGGGCCAAATTCGTAAATGGTCGTGGCCTTTGTGGCCATCTGCAGGCCATGGAAGTTTACCACCATACAAAAAACACAGTGCCACTATTTATTCATTAAAAGACGTCGACAGTAAATCCTACCCAAGGACATAGACTAATGGGTGTCATACGGTATTTGAACCCACAAAGCTCTCAAACAGTCTTCTAGCAGTACGGCATTCCATTTTCGATAATGTTACCGTGTCTATATTGTAATGTTATCAGTGTTATTAATATTTGCCCTATTGACTCGCATATTTTTATAAAATGTCTGTACAGACACACTTTGTCCAACTGTTATGAAGCGTGTCTCGAGTATTGTTCCAATGATATTCCTTTTTATGGAACCGATTTGAATGATACTTAATTGTTTCGAGTTTTGAACTGTTCCAAATAAACTGAAAAGTAGTGGGAGTAACGTGTAATAAGGGGTAGTGTATACTAGCTACAAATAGAATCAGCAATTTTTTTTTTAGACAATAAGACAACGGACGAATGATTTTGACAACCCTACCGAGACAACAGGAGTCGTATTGTTCATTTTGACATCCATCGGACTCCACCTTGCAGATACTTTTTGTAGCGAGTGGATAGAATGAACATTAGAAGTATAGAAGTACACAAGGTAGCTGACCTATTAAGAGGACACTTACCTTATACAGTATAGTGAGAGTCGTCCAGCTTTCCGTGCAGATCACCCACCACGGTAATCTGGCCGGAGATGGCGGTGGAGGCGTGGGTGACGGTGGCTCGCTGCCGCAACACCCGCACACCCTCCCTCAGCAACACGTACACGTAGCGGACGTGTAGTGCCTGTACCAGACAAACAGTGTATAGCTAATCGCTGAGGATCATGTAGGGCAGGTGTGGGACAGGTAATAAATAATCAGAATGGAGCGAAAATAGTTAGAAGCACAAGTATACCTAGTGTGTGTGTGTGCAGCGTTGTTGTAGTACACTAATATTTTCACCACTAGCGGAAAATACAATCTACGAATATTTTTTTTTTGCCATACTGTACTGTACGTTATGTACCAAGCTGCTACACTGAAAATAAGGCTTAAAGAATTTAGAATTTACAAAGTCATTAAAGGTTGTGTGAAAGTGTGGCGGTGTGACAATGAGGTTGTGAATGTCTGGCAGTGTGAGTGTCATGTGTGGCAGTGTGAATGTCTGAGCAGTAATATGATGTCTGAGTAGTAGCGTGAGTGTGTGTAGCAGTGTGTCTGTGTAGCAGTGTGAGTGTCTGTGTGGCAGTGAGACTGTTTGTGTGGTAGTGAGACTGTTTGTGTGGTAGTGTGAGTGGTTGTGTAGCAGTGTGAGTGTCTGTGTGGCAATGTGAGTGTCTTGTGGCAGTGTGAGTGTCTGTGTGTGTAGCAGTGTGAGTGTCTGTGTGGCAGTGTGAGTGTGTCTGCGTGGCAGTGTGAGTGTCTGCGTGGCAGTGTGGTGTCTGCGTGGCAGTGTGGTGTCTGCGTGTGTAGCAGTGTGAGGTGTCTGTGTGGCAGTGAGACTGTTTGTGTGGTAGTATGAGTGTCTGTGTGGCAGTGTGACTGTCTGTGTGTGTAGCAGTGTGGTGTCTGTGTGGCAGTGTGGAGTGTCTGTGTGGCAGTGTGAGTGTCTGTGTGTGTAGCAGTGTGAGTGTCTGTGTGTGTAGCAGTGTGAGTGTCTGTGTGTGTAGCAGTGTGAGTGCCTGCGTGGAAGTGTGAGTGTCTGTGTGTGTAGCAGTGTGAGTGTCTGTGTGTGTAGCAGTGTGAGTGTCTGTGTGTGTAGCAGTGTGAGTGTCTGTGTGTGTAGCTGTGTGAGTGTCTGTGTGTGTAGCAGTGTGAGTGTCTGTGTGTGTAGCAGTGTGAGTGTCTGTGTGGCAGTGGGACTTTGTGTGGAGTATAGTGTTTGCGTGGCAGTGTGAGTGTCTGCGTGTGTAGTGTGAGTGTCTGTGTGGAGTGAGACTGTTTGTGTGGTAGTATGAGTGTCTGTGTGGCAGTGTGAGTGTCTGTTTGTGTAGCAGTGTGAGTGTCTGTGTGGCAGTGTGAGTGTCTGTGTGTGTAGCAGTGTGAGTGTCTGTGTGGCAGTGTGAGTGTCTGTGTGTGTAGAAGTGTGGTGTCTGTGTGTGTAGCAGTGTGAGTGTCTGTGTGTGTAGCAGTGTGGTGTCTGTGTGTGTAGCAGTGTGAGTGTCTGTGTGTGTAGCTGTGTGAGTGTCTGTGTGTGTAGCAGTGTGAGTGTCTGTGTGTAGCAGTGTGAGTGTCTGTGTGTGTAGCAGTGTGAGTGTCTGTGTGTGTAGCTGTGTGAGTGTCTGTGTGTGTAGCAGTGTGAGTGTCTGTGTGTGTAGCAGTGTGAGTGCCTGCGTGGCAGTGTGAGTGTCTGTGTGTAGCATTGTGAGTGTCTGTGTGTGTGGCAGTGTGAGTGCCTGCGTGGCAGTGTGAGTGTCTGTGTGTGTAGGAGTGTGAGTGTCTGTGTGTGTGGCTGTGAGTGTCTGTGTGTGTGGTGTCTGTGTGTGTAGCTGTGTGAGTGTCTGTGTGTGGCTGTGTGAGTGTCTGTGTGTGTGGCAGTGTGGTGTCTGTGTGGCTGTGTGAGTGTCTGTGTGTAGCAGTGTGAGTGTCTGTGTGTGTGTGCAGTGTGAGTGTCTGTGTGTGTAGCAGTGTGAGTGTCTGTGTGCTGTGTGAGTGTCTGTGTGTGTAGCAGTGTGAGTGTCTGTGTGTGTAGCAGTGTGAGTGCCTGCGTGGCAGTGTGAGTGTCTGTGTGTGTAGCATTGTGAGTGTCTCTGTGTGTGTAGCAGTGTGGTGTCTGTGTGTAGCAGTGTGGTGTCTGTGTGGCAGTGTGAGTGCCTGCGTGGCAGTGTGAGGTGTCTGTGTAGCAGTGTGAGTGTCTGTGTGTAGCAGTGTGAGTGTCTGTGTGTGTAGCATTGTGAGTGTCTGTGTGTGTAGCAGTGTGAGTGTCTGTGTGGCAGTGTGGTGTCTGTGTAGCAGTGTGAGTGTCTATGTGTGTAGCACTGTGAGTGTCTGTGTGTGTAGCAGTGTGAGGTGTCTGTGTGTGTAGCATTGTGAGTGTCTGTGTGTGTAGCAGTGTGAGTGTCTATGTGTGTAGCAGTGTGAGTGTCTGTGTGGCAGTGTGAGTGCCTGCGTGGAGTGTGATGTCTGTGTGTGTGTGGTGTGGTGTGTCTGTGTGTGTGTGGTGTGGTGTCTGTGTATGTAGCAGTGTGAGTGTCTATGTGTGTAGCAGTGTGAGTGTCTGTGTGTGTAGCAGTGTGAGTGTCTGTGTGTGTAGCAGTGTGAGTGTCTGTGTGTGTAGCTGTGTGAGTGTCTGTGTGTGTAGCAGTGTGGGTGTCTGTGTGGCAGTGGTGCCTGCATGGCAGTGTGAGTGTCTGTGTGTGTAGCAGTGTGGTGTCTGTGTGTGTAGCTGTGTGAGTGTCTGTGTGTGTGCAGTGTGAGTGTCTGTGTGTGTGTAGCAGTGTGAGTGTCTGTGTGTGTAGCAGTGTGGTGTCTGTGTGTGTAGCTGTGTGGTGTCTGTGTGTGTGTAGCAGTGTGAGTGTCTGTGTGTGTGGCAGTGTGAGTGCCTGCGTGGCAGTGTGGTGTCTGTGTGTGTAGCAGTGTAGTGTCTGTGTGTGTAGCAGTGTGAGTGTCTATGTGTGTAGCAGTGTGAGTGTCTGTGTGGCAGTGTGAGTGTCTGTGTGGCAGTGTAGTGTCTGTGTGTGTAGCAGCGTGGGTGTCTGTGTGTGGTGTGAGTGTCTGTGTGTGTAGCAGTGTGAGTGTCTGTGTGTGGCAGTGTGAGTGTCTTTGGAACAGACCGTTGCCTGTTCACCCAGCAGTGAGTGGAACCTGGTTGTAAGACGGCTGATGTGGGTCGCACCTGGGAATGGTTTAATGCAGTAATATCTGAGGAACCTGGGCGTATGCCTTAACCTAGAACCCACAGTGTGAGTGTCTGTGTAGCAGTGTGAGTGTCTGTGTAGCAGTGTGAGTGTCTGTGTGTGTGTAGCAGTGTGAGTGTCTGTGTGTGTAGCAGTGTGGAGTGTCTGTGTGTGTAGCAGTGTGAGTGTCTTTGGAACAGACCGTTGCCTGTGTTCACCCAGCAGTGAGTGGGAACCTGGTTGTAAGACGGCTGATGTGGGTCGCACCTTGGGGAATGGTTTAATGCAGTAATATCTGAGGAACCTGGGCGTATGCCTAGAGAACCCACAGTGTGAGTGTCTGTGTGGCAGTGTGTCTGTGTGGCAGTGTGCCTGTGTCTGTGTGGCAGTGTGTCTGTGTCTGTGTGGCAGTGTGTCTGTGTGTGGTGTGTCTGTGTGGCAGTGTGGAGTGTCTGTGTCGCAGTGTGGGTGTCTGTGTGGCAGTGCGTCTGTGTCTGTGTGACAGCGTGTCTGTGTCTGTGTGGCAGTGTGAGTGTATGTGTGTGTAGCAGTGTGAGTGTCTGTGTGGCAGTGTGAGTGTCTGTGTATGAAGCAGTGTGAGTGTCTGTGTGTGTGTGGCAGTCTGAGTGTCTGTGTGTGTAACAGTGTGAGTGACTGTGTGGCAATGTGAGTGTCTGTGTGTGGCAGTGGGGGTGTCTGTGTGGCAGTGCAGTGTCTATGTGTGTGGGGTGTGAGTGTCTGTGTGTGTAGCAGTCTGAGTGTCTGTGTGTGAGTGTGGGTGTCTGTGTGTCAGTGTGTTCTGTGTCTGTGTGCCGTGTGTCTGTGTCTGTGTGTGGCAGTGTGGTGTCTGTGTGTGTAGCAATATGAGTGTCTGCGTGGCAGTGTGAGTGTCTGTGTGTAGCAGTGTGAGTGTCTGTGTGTGTAGCTGTGTAGTGTCTGTGTGTGTGCGAGTGTGAGTGTCTGTGTGTGTGAGTGTGGTGTCTGTGTGTGTAGCAGTGTGAGTGTCTGTGTGTGTAGCAGTGTGAGGTGTCTTTGGAACAGACCGTTGCCTGTGTTCACCCAGCAGTGAGTGGGAACCTGGTTGTAAGACGGCTGATGTGGGTCGCACCTTAGGGAATGGTTTAATGCAGTATCTGAGGAACCTGGGCGTATCAACCTAGAACCCACAGTGTAGTGTCTGTGTGGCAGTGTGTGTGTGCTGTGTAGTGTGTCTGTGTCTGTGTGGCAGTGCGTCTGTGCCTGTGTGGCAGTGTGTCTGTGTCTGTGTGGCAGTGTGTCTGTGTCTGTGTGTGTAGCAGTGTGAGGTGTCTGTGTGGCAGTGTGTCTGTGTGGCAGTGTGAGTGTCTGTGTGGCAGTGTGTCTGTGTGGCAGTGTGTCTGTGTGGCAGTGTGTCTGTGTGGCAGTGTGTCTGTCTGTGTGGCAGTGCGTCTGTGCCTGTGTGGCAGTGTGTCTGTGTCTGTGTGGCAGTGTGTCTGTGTCTGTGTGTGTGGCAGTGTGGTGTCTGTGTGGAGTGTGTCTGTGTGTGATGTGTCTGTGTGTCTGTGTGTGCAGTGTGTCTGTGTGGAAGTGTGTCTGTGTGGTGTGGCTGGAGTGTGTCTGTGTGTGGTGTGTCTGTGTCTGTGTGGCAGTGTGGTGTGTCTGTGTGGCTGGGTGTCTGTGTGTGTCTGTGTCTGTGTGTGTGTCTGTGTGGTGTGTCTGTGTCTGTGTGGTGTGTCTGTGTGGCAGTGTGTCTGTGTCTGTGTGTGGTGTGTCTGTGTGGCAGTGTCTGTGTCTGTGTGTGGTGTGTCTGTGTGGCAGTGTGTCTGTGTGGCAGTGTGTCTGTGTGGCAGTGTGTGTGTGTGGTGTGTCTGTGTGGCAGTGTGTCTGTGTGTGCAGTGTGTCTGTGTGTGGTGTGTCTGTGTGGCAGTGTGTCTGTGTGGCAGTGTGTCTGTGTCTGTGTGGCAGTGTGAGTGTCTGTGGCAGTGTGTCTGTGTGGCAGTGTCTTTGTCTGTGTGGTGTGTCTGTGTGGAGAGTGTGTCTGTGTGGCAGTGTGTCTGTGTCTGTGGGCAGTGTGAGTGTCTGTGGCGGAGTGTGTCTGTGTGTGGTGTCTGTGTCTGTGTGGCAGTGTGTCTGTGTGGCAGTGTGTCTGTGTGTCTGTGTCTGTGTGGCAGTGCGTCTGTGCCTGTGTGGCAGTGTGTCTGTGTCTGTGTGTGTAGCAGTGTGAGCGTCTGTGTGGCAGTGTGTCTGTTTCTGTGTGGCAGTGTGTCTGTTTGGAGGTGTGTCTGTGTGGCAGTGTGTCTGTGTCTGTGTGGCAGTGTGAGTGTCTGTGTGGCAGTGTGTCTGTGTCTGTGTGGCAGTGTGAGTGTCTGTGTGGCAGTGTGTCTGTCTGTGTGGCAGTGTGTCTGTGTGGCAGTGTGTCTGTGTGGCAGTGTGTCTGTGTGGCAGTGTGTCTGTCTGTGTGGCAGTGTCTGTGTGGCAGTGTGAGCGTCTGTGTGGCAGTGTGTGCTGTGTGGCAGTGTGATTGTCTGTGTGGCAGTGTGAGGTGTCTGTGTGGCAGTGTGTCTGTGTCTGTGTGGCAGTGTGAGTCTGTGTGGCAGTGTGTCTGTGTCTGTGTGGCAGTGTGTCTGTGGCAGTGTGTCTGTGTCTGTGTGGCAGTGTGTCTGTGTGGCAGTGTGAGCGTCTGTGTGGCAGTGTGTCTGTGTCTGTGTGGCAGTGTGAGTGTCTGTGTGGCAGTGTGTCTGTGTCTGTGTGGCAGTGTGACGTCTGTGTGGCAGTGTGTCTGTGTGTGTGTGGCAGTGTGTCTGTGTCTGTGTGGCAGTGTGGTGTCTGTGTGGCAGTGTGTCTGTGTCTGTGTGGCAGTGTGAGTGTCTGTGTGGCAGTGTGTCTGTGTCTGTGTGGGTGTGTCTGTGTGCAGTGTGTCTGTGTCTGTGTGGCAGTGTGTCTGTGTGGCAGTGTGAGCGTCTGTGTGGCAGTGTCTGTGTGGCAGTGTGATTGTCTGTGTGGCAGTGTGAGTGTCTGTGTGGCAGTGTGTCTGTGTCTGTGTGGCAGTGTGATTGTCTGTGTGGCAATGTGTCTGTGTCTGTGTTTCAGTGTGAGTGTCTGTGTGGCAGTGTGTCTGTGTCTGTGTGGCAGTGTGGTGTCTGTGTGGCAGTGTGTCTGCGTCTGTGGCAGTGTGAGTGTCTGTGTGTCAGTGTGTCTGTGTGGCAGTGTGAGTGTCTGTGTGGCAGTGTGAGTGTCTATGTGGCAGTGTGAGTATCTGTGTGGCAGTGTGTCTGTGTCTGTGTGGCAGTGTTGTCTGTGTCTGTGTGTGGCAGTGTGTCTGTGTGGCAGTGTGTCTGTGTGGCAGTGTGAGTGTCTGTGGGGCAGTGGATGTCTGTGTGGCAGTGTGGATGTCTGTGTGGTAGTGTGAGTATCTGTGTGGCAGTGTGTCTGTGTCTGTGTGGCAGTGTGTCTGTGTGGCAGTGTGAGTGTCTGTGTGGCAGTGTGAGTGTCTGTGTGGCAGTGTGGATGTCTGTGTGGCAGTGTGGTTGTCTGTGTGGCAGTCTGAGTGTCTGTGGCAGTGTGTGCTGTGTGGCAGTGTGGGTGTCTGTGTGGCAGTGTGAGTGTTTGTGTGGCAGTGTGTCTGTGTAGGGTGTCTGTGTGGCGTGTGGGTGTCTGTGTGGCAGTGTGAGTGTTTGTGTGGCAGTGTGTCTGTGTGGCAGTGTGGGTCTGTGTGGGTGTGGTTGTCTGTGTGGCAGTGTGAGTGTCTGTTTGGCAGTGTGTCTGTGTAGCAGTGTGGGTGTCTGTGTGGCAGTGTGGAGTGTTTGTGTGGCAGTGTGTCTGTGTGGCAGTGTGTCTGTGTGGCAGTGTGAGTGTCTGTGTGGTAGTGTTAGTGTCTGTGTGGCAGTGTGTCTATGTGGCAGTGTGAGTGTGTGGCAGTGTGAGTGTCTGTGTGGCAGTGTGTCTGTGGCAGTGTAGTGTCTGTGTGAGTGTGTGTCTGTGGGGTGGTGTCTGTGGCAGTGTATGTCTGTGTGCAGTGTGGTGTTGTGGCGTGTGGTGTCTGTGTGATGTGAGTGTCTGTGTGGCAGTGTGAATGTCTGTGTGGCAGTGTGAAGTCTGTGTGGAGTGTGTCTGTGTGGCAGTGTGTCTGTGTGGCAGTGTGAGTGTCTGTGTGGCAGTGTGAGTGTGTGGCAGTGTGAGTGTCTTTGTGACAGTGTGATTGTCTGTGTGGCAGTGTGTCTGTGTAGCAGTGTGAGTATGTGTGTGTAACAAGGTGGTGTGTGTGTGTGTGTGTGTAGCAGTGTGAGTGTGGGTGTGTGTGTGTAGCAGTGTGAGTGTGAGTGTGTGTGTAGCAGTGTAAGTGTGTGTGTGCTGTGTGAGTGTGTGTGTTGCAGTGTGAGTGTATTGTGAGTGTCTGGGTATGGTAGTGTGTGTGTGTGTGTGTGTGTGATTAGAGGGGTAACCTTGACCTTCTTTTTCTTGTAGGCATCGACCAGCTGGTGTATGGAGTGTGTTGTGAGCGGCGTGGTGAGGTGCGGTCCCTTGTAGCTCCCTTCCACCTTCACCTCCTCAGCCCACGCCTCCTCCAGCAGCCTCTTCATGCTCACCTCATCCTCCTCCCCCTCCTCATCTGTGGGATAACTTTCGTTCTTATTCTTTCTATCTTTCTTTCTTTCTTTCTTTCTTTCTTTCTTTTCTTTCTTTCTTTCTTTCTTTCTTTCTTTCTTTCTTTCTTTCTTTCTTTCTTTTTCTTTTTTCTTTCTTTCTTCTTTTCTCCTACCTGTGGAGGGAGAGGCGCGGGGTGACAAGGCCTCCATAACATCGTTCATGGTGGTGTTGGTCATGTGTGTGAGGAGGGCGTTGAAGAAGTCGTACAGCTGTGGGAGACATATCATTAATGGTACTAATCACTTCTCTGCCAAGCTGCCAACACCTGCCCCACCAACACCTGCTCTCTCAACAACTGCCCCACCAACACCTACACTCTCGTCTCCTCCACTACCACTACCTGCATTACCAACACCTGCACTCTCAATACCTGTTCTACTGATACCCTCACCTGTTGTTGTATAATATCATTATTGCGCTTCAACCACGAAGGTCTTTAAGAGGGTAATCAAGTTAGTAATGCTCTAGTGCCCAACAACATTGAAAAATTATGAAAACTAGAAGGCTCTGCGCCTCTGTGCCCTGCTACGTGGCTCTAGTTATCACCTCACTCCAGGAATATCGTTAACAACACCAAGGAAAACAAAGCTCTTAAAATTTAAAAAGTTCCTATATACTGTGGGATTCCCACAGTATGAAGGCTCCCACAGTGGGAAGTTCGCTCCATGAAACAGGTTTTAAAGCTGTCAGTAGAAGCGAAAAAATTATACAAGACTTTCACAGCAAATATCAATAAGAGACATCTAAAGCCATTTCGTGTGACGTTGTTGGAACTATTAAAACTTGGAAGGCTTCAAAAGTATTTATGCAAAGTATTAAGTTTGTTACGACACTCCTCCATCACCATTTACCCAGCTTCCACCACTGGTTACCAGCGGCTAGGTTCGGTTGTACAGAAGCAATATATAGCTCAAGTGTTGTCGAATTACCATTGACTGTCCCGCCAGTGTACAGACAAACAACAGGCAGGAGATTTCCACCAGGTCACAGAAACACACTTGTGCACTGTAGTCTTCTTTAATAAGCACTGATTCTTCACAACACTGTTAACAGGGTAATGGCTTCACAGCTGGACTTTTCACTTCGAATATATACTGTAGTCAGCACACTACCAGTGTACAATTCCTTAGTCTTTTCACTTTATATTAATCACAACAATTCCACAATACTTGCACAACAATTGTCTCAAGTTGTTCTACTAGACTTGCTCTTCACACTCTGAACAGAAGCGATTGACCGACTTCTCCTAGCATGCTCGCTGGTGTTTAAGTACGCCTCGCCAGATCCCTCTCGAACACCCTAGCATCACCCAGAGACGCCTGGGAGATTCTAAAATGTTTTACTCTGTTCGAGGCTTACAATATTAAGTAAATCATAGGAAAAGCGATGCAATACATTCGAGAATATTCTTACATAATTAATACATCAATATATACACAAAAAAGTTCAATAAATTTGCCAAAATAACTGCTGCATAGGACAGAAAACAATCAAAACACCTAGTTTACAAAATTATAATACGAAATTATGCCTCAGCATAACAAGTTTAAGGATAAAAGGAGCAGAAATATTAGAGTATTGGGTTTCTCTCTGTATCAGATATTGTAAGTGCAGGTCTCACCTTCATCTGGTCTTGCTCGCCAGCATACTCGATGGACTGGAAGATGGTCCAGGTATACCGTCGTCTGATCTCTAGCCTGGCGCAGTATCTCCTGTACCACCGCTGGATCAGCAGTGCAGCTTTCAGTGTGGAGCATCACCAAAGAAAACGTTAGTGTCTCACTCCTTGAGGAGCAGCTCGTGTAAAGTATTTATTGACTACTGTGATCGTCTAGTGTTTATATACTATCATGTACTATATAATAGGTAGGATGAGCGTTTGTTTTATGTTGAGAAATGTGAAATGTTTTATGTTCATACAATTATTTAGCTATAAGGCTTACCTTAGGTCTTTCATAAGTCATCTTACGTTGAATCGACTAATTATATTTGCCTATTTTATATGTCTACGCTGTTTTTGTATGTGCTGCATCAAATTGAAATTGCATTATGATTTTACTGAATTTCCGTTAAAAATTTTTTCTACCTACAGTACAATATTTTCTTCTGGTTTATTTCTTAAGTAGAGTAAGTAGATTTCTCTAGGCACATTAATAATTATTATAAATCAGTTGTCAACATTCCCAGGTGTCAGCCTCTCCCGCTGTCACTTTTTGCCTCCTGTTAAATATGCGTGTCGTTTGGGGCCTAATTTGAACAAAAATTTGAAATATTTACAACACAAACTCGACGAGACGATAAACAAACTCCTCAGGCCCACGGTGATTACAGTTATGGTGATAATCGACTTTAATTACCTCGTAATCTATTTGTATAAACTTTGAGACAATTCTCTATTGCAACATTCTAAAGATCTGGCCCACCGAGTGAACAACACCAAAATCACTGAATCTCGCCATAACTATCGAGACTTGAAGATGGTTGTGGTGCGGACTCAGCCATGTAAGCAGTGTCATTTCTGGCCTACACTACAAATTACAGTGAATTAGGTAAACGAGGAAGTTGATGAGAATGGAAGGAAGCCAGAACAACCACCAAACTCGAAGTCACTACCGAGGACTGTTTCTGGCTTGAGAGTCATGTACACAAAAGCTGACACTTTCCTTGACAAGAAAGCGGAGTTGGAAACTTATAGTAGGTGTTGTTGAACTGTTGTGTAAGAAAGGGAGGATATGACTCATTTATGAACCTTCCTCAGGCAAATTGAAACAGGGTGTGGTTATCAATGTTAGACAAGACCTTAGAACCAGCCAGGGAGGGTGCGGGGAGAGGATGTTTTTGAAGAATCCAAGTGGTGTAAAATTAAACTGAAGGGGGAGAGATTTACTCATTGTTGGATGCATCTACAAATCCCCGAATTGCAGATTGTTAAACCATGGACACTTAATAGTTTTAATAGGCAACGCAATAGCGCTCACTCTAGCCACCTCCTTGTCATGGGGGACTTCAACTATGGCGACATCGATTGGAGGAATGAAATTTCACAAAATGACATAAATAATCCTGCTACTTTTTGTGAAACCCTGAGAGACAATTTTATATTCCAACATGTTAAAGATCCAACTCACTATAGGGGCAAACACCATAACCAACGAGGAGGGTATGGTGGCCTAGCTGGAACAACTGTTACTAGTTCCCGTTGGCACCAGCCATCATATGATATTATCCTTAAGATTTAACTGTTATTTGGTTAATGATAAAAGCAGGTCAAGGTTCAAATATTACAGTGGTGATTACGACAAGATGAAGGAAGAGATAAGGGGTAGGCATTCACTGGCCTGACTCGCTGGTAAACAAGAACGGGAATATCACTCTGAACATTATTTCCCAGTAAGGTGAACTATTTGAATGATAAATGTATACACAAGACCAAACCCAGTGTCTCCAAGAATACAAGAAGACCGTTACACATGAGCCATGCGGCGGTCAACAAAGTTAAGAGGAAATCTCAGAAATTCAAGAGATGGGTTGTGGCAAATGATAAGCAGGACAGAGGGACGTATGCCAGGTCCAGGAACCAAGCAAAGTCAGAGTGTAGAAGGGCTGAAAAGAGGTTTCAGAGGCGGATTGCAAGTGAGGTCAAGCAAAGCCAATGGCCTTTTACTGTTACGCAAAGTCGAAATTAAGGACATTTGTGGACGTATCAGATCTGAGACTTGAAGGTGGTAGTTACATAAAACTCAGATCAGGATAAAGCGGAGGAATTAAATAAATTCTTTTCATCAGTGTTTCAAGAGGATGCGAACAATCTCCCTGCGTTTAAGGAAAGACGGTTTGACAAAGCGTTGACTCGCATTACGCTTTCGGAAGACTGTATTGGGACAAACTGTCATCCCAGAGTGCTAAGAGAGTTGTACAACGAGCATGGTAAGCCCCTTAAAATCTTGTTCTGCAGATGCATGGAAGAGCAAAAGGTCCCCAGTGACTGGAAATTGGCATATGTGAGTCCTATATTCAAACAGGATGATCGCCACTTTACAAAAAATTATACGCCCGTGAGCTTGACCAGCATAGTCTGTAAGGTACTTGAGGGCATTTTAAGAGACGCCATGATGGAACATCTGCTACGAAACAACCTTGTAAGGACTACCAACATGAGTTTTTCAGGACGCTCCCGTTTGACGCAATTACTTAAGGTATTGGATGTTTGGACCCAGATCCTGGAACGTGGTGGCAAAAGGGGTGATTACCACAGCACGAATAATTACTGTCGAGCAAGCTTGACCTGCATAATGTGTAGAGTTATGGTGAACATTGTACAGTACCTGATACCTTGATGTACCATCTACAACGGAGCAGCCTTGTGATGGAATGCCACCATTAATTTATACCCAGAGGCTCCTGTTTGACGTTTCTGCCGAAGGCACTGAATCTGTGGCCGTAGTGGTAATATTAGCAATACAGATCTTGACTTTGTCAAGGCTAAAAATTACTTTGGAAGGATATGGAATTTGGGAGAATGTCTTGTATATCATGGGTCAGTGGTTTTCTTTACGATCGTAAAAAAGGTTCGTGGTAAAGGGCACGAAATTTGTCATATGCACTGCACCTGTGACAAGCGATATGCCACAAGGCAGTGTGCTTAGTCGCAGTAATAATAGGGAAAATATATCACATGTACAGGCACTCATAAAAGAACCCCCCCCCCCAGTCCACAGGTCTTCTAACTCATGGCAATTCAGACCTGGTAACAGTGTACAGTACCTGACGTAGAGGGTCGGGGTGAGGGGTGGTGTTGGGCGGTGGGCGGTGGAAGATCACGTCGTGCACGAACCACTGTCTCGGTTCATGTTTCGTTTCATGCACAACTAAGGCATTATATTCTAAACTCCTAATAACATTACTAAATAACCATGTAATATTACAACCCCATATGTATATAGAGTATACAAGTGATCGTGGGCCCTTTGTGCCGGGTGGCGAGTCTGGTGGTCTGGTGGTACAGTTTACCGAGGCATGAAAGTTCAAACGCTCGCGCTTGGCAAGTGCGCAACCGCCGTCCGGCTGACAGCGTACAGCGACATCGTTTTCCAGCGTAAATAAATGGTTAATTAATGCCTTCCTAAAGATACCATCGACATGGGACCAGGTTTGTTCCACTCTACGAATTTTTTTGCGATTTTTCCACCAAGTTTGATGAAAAACGATTGTGCCGTTTCTGCTGCCCAGAACAGACACACAGACAGACACACGGCTATTCCTATAGTATATTAGATAGATGGTCGTGGTTGTTATAATCATGGTCGTGGTTGTCATTATCATAGTCGTGGTTGTTATAATCATAGTCATGGATTGTTACAATCATAGTCGTGGTTGTCATTATCATAGTCGTGGTTGTCATTATCATAGTCGTGGTTGTTATAATCATGGTCGTGGTTGTCATTATCATAGTCGTGGTTGTTATAATCATAGTCATGGGTGTTACAATCATAGTCGTGGTTGTCATTATCATAGTCGTGGTTGTTATAATCATGGTCGTGGTTGTTATAATCATGGTCGTGGTTGTCATTATCATAGTCGTGGTTGTTATAATCATAGTCATGGGTTTTTACAATCATAGTCGTGGTTGTCATTATCATAGTCGTGGTTGTTATAATCATGGTCGTGGTTGTTATAATCATGGTCGTGGTTGTCATTATCATAGTCGTGGTTGTTATAATCATAGTCATGGGTGTTACAATCATAGTCGTGGTTGTCATTATCATAGTCGTGGTTGTTATAATCATGGTCGTGGGTGTTATAATCATGGTCATGGGTGTTACAATCATAGTCGTGGTTGTCATTATCATAGTCGTGGTTGTTATAATCATGGTCGTCATGGTCGTGATTGTTATAATCATAGTCGTGGTTGTTATAATCATGGTCGTGGGTGTTATAATCATGGTCGTGGTTGTTATAATCATGGTCGTGGTTGTTATAATCATAGTCATGGGTGTTACAATCATAGTTGTGGTTGTCATTATCATAGTCGTGGTTTATTTACAATCATGGTCGTCATGGTCGTGATTGTTATAATCATAGTCGTGGTTGTTATAATCATGGTCGTGGGTGTTATAATCATGGTCGTTGGTGTTATAATCATAGTCGTGGTTGCTATAATCATGGTCGTGGGTGTTATAATCATGGTCGTGGTTGTAATAATCATGGTCGTGGTTGCTATAATCATGGTCGTGGTTGTTATAATCATAGTCATGGTGTTAACAATCATAGTCGTGGTTGTTATTATCATAGTCGTGGTTGTTATAATCATGGTCGTCATGGTCGTGATTGTTATAATCATAGTCGTGGTTATAATCATGGTTTGTGTTTTTTATAATCATATTCGTGGTTGTTATAATCATGGTCGTGGTTGTTATAATTATAGTCGTGGTTGTTATAATCATGGTCGTGGTTGTTATAATCAAAGTCGTGGGTGTTATACTCATGGCCGTGGTTGTTATAATCATGGTCGTGGTTGTTATAAATCATAGTCGTGGTTGTTATGATCATAGTCGTGGTTGTTATAATCATGGTCGTAGTTATTTATAATCATAGTCGTGATTGGTATAATCATAGTCGTGGTTATTATAATCATAGTCGTGGTTATTTATAATCATGGTCATGGTTGTTATAATCATGGTCGTGGCTATTATAATCATGGTCGTGGTTGTTATAATCATGGTCGTGACTGTTATAATCATGGTCGTGGTTATTATAATCATGGTCGTGGTTATTTATAAACATGGCCGTGTTGTTATAATCATGGTCGTGGTTGTTATAATCATGGTCGTGGTTATTTATAATCATAGTCGTGGTTGTTATAATCATGGTCGTGGTTGTTATAATCTTCAGTCGTGGTTGTTATAATCATGGTCGTGGTTGTTATAATCATGGTCGTGGTTATTTATAATCATGGTCGTGGTTG